GCATTTTGGACACATCACGGTCATTTTGAATTTTTAGTTATGCCATTCAGCCTTACCAATGCGTCGTCCACGTTCCAGAGCTTAATGAATGATATATTTGGCCCATATTTGCGCAAATTTGTTTTGGTTTTCTTCGATGATATCTTGATATATAGCAAATCATGGGTTGAGTATGTAGCACATGTCCACCTTGTCCTTGATATCCTTCGCACCCATGGCATGTTTTTAAAACGGTCCAAATGCAGTTTTGGAGCCCCACAAGTTAACTATTTGGGTCACGTCATCCACAACACAGGTGTAGAGGTGGATCAGACAAAAATACATGCCATCATGGAATGTCCTGTTCCGCAAATAGTCACGACCTTGCGTGGATTCTTGAGCCTAGCCGGCTATTAACGCAAATTTATTGAGCACTATGGGGAGATTACTCAACTTCTAACCCAACTGTTGTAAAAAAAGGGTTTGATTGGACAACAGATGCGGTTGCAGCGTTCATTGAGCTCAAGAAGAGGCTCTCCACGGCACCGGTTCTCCAGCTTCCTGACTTATGTAAGACTTTTATCGTGGAGTGTGATGCTTCAGGCAGCGGATTCGGGGCGGTTTTACAATAGGACGGGCATCCCATTGCCTATTTTAGTCGCAAAATAGCAGATCGACATGTAAAATTGGCAGCTTATGAGCGTGAGTTGATTGGTCTAGCCAAAGCTATAGTCCATTGGCACCCATACCTATGGGGACAACAGTTCCTGATCCGCACCGGTCACTCTAGTTTGAAACATTTACTTGACCAGCGTCTTACCACATCACCACAACAACATTGGTTGACCAAATTGATGGGATTCAATTTTCGGGTGGAATACAAACCTGGACGGTTGAACACGGCCGCAGATGCATTATTCCGCCGAGATGAGGAACCCGTCTTGCTGCACGCCTTGTCTATTCCATTCTCTACATTATTGACTGAGGTTCGTGCTGCTCAAATCTCATCCTATGAGCTCGAAAAACTCCGGCAACATGTCCTGGATGGCACTCTTGGCAGTGACTGGGCATACCGCGATGGGTTGCTTTGTTTTCGCCATAAATATACTTGTTGCCTACATCACCTATCATTCTGAGTTTACTCTCATTATTTCACGGTATGGCTCACGAAGGTGTACAAAAAACATTGCACCGTATGCGACACGAGTTTTATTGGTCTAATATGAAGGCGACAGTAGCACAATACATTGTCGAGTGCCAGACGTGCCAACAACATAAGTGGCAAAACCTACAACATGTTGGGCTGCTTCAGCCTCTACCAATTCCTCAACATATATGGGCTGATATTTCCAAGGACTTCATTGAAGGACTTCCTAAGGTTCGGGCTAAGTCAGTAATATTGGTGGTGGTTGATCGACTATCCAAGGTTGCACATTTCATCCCCTTGAGCCATCCTTACACAGCTGTTTCTGTGGCTGCAGTTTTCTTTGCAGAAATCTTCCGACTCCATGGTCTTCTAGAATCTATTGTGTCTGACCGCGACAAAGTCTTTGTCAACACATTTTGGCACGAATTATTTCGCTTGTCAGGGACAAAGCTTGCCTTTTCATCGGCTTATCACCCACAAACCGATGGGCAAATTGAGGTTGTCAACCGTACTGTGGGATTGTTTCTCCGTTGTTTAACAAGTGACTATCCTAGTCAGTGGGTTCATTGGCTGCCATGGGTGGAGTATTATTATAATACATCTTTTCATACTGCTCTAGGGGACACTCCCTTTCAATTGGTCTACGGTCGGGATCCCCCTGACTTCTTTCTCATTCACCAGGCACAACCCGCTTGGATAGTGTGGAGCGTGAGCTCATTGATCGTGATGCACTCTTGTCTGCAGCTCGCACCAGACTAGAGCAGGCTCAACAACGCATGAAACTGCAGTATGACAAATCTCACTGGGACTTGACCTTTGAGCCTGGAAACTAGGTTTGGCTTCAGGTGCACCCCTATCGTCAGGTTTCCTTGACTCAACGTCATCACAAACTTTTACTGAAGTACTACGGGCCATTTCAAGTCACAACTCACATAGGGGACACTGCGTATCAGCTCCAATTGCCGCCAGACAGTCGTATCCACAACGTCTTCCATGTTTCCTTACTCAAACCACACAAGGGACTTCCCCCAGATTCTATGGGACAATTACCTCCACTGAAAGACAACTCTATGGCTTTGGAACATGCTGCCATCCTTTGCCGCCGTTTGAATCGTGGCCAGTTGGAGCTATTAGTACACTGGAAGGGACAGTTAGCAGAGGAAGCATCATGGGAGCCTATTGAGGCATTTCGCGCAACTTACCCTACATTCGAGCTTGAGGACAAGCTCGTGGTCCATCGAGGGAGTGATGATATGGATGTGTTCTGGGGTCGTGCCTATCAGCGACGGCGATCGGGCCACAGAGGCACAAACTGAAACAGTGCAAGTGAAGCCCAAGCAGAACCTGTGACCCTGGAGACTAAAAGTGGCTAACTTGAGCAGCAAGATTATTTATTATTAGTCTCCTAATCAAACTACTATTGTTATTTCCTATTCCAGTTTTAGGCAGTTTCCTATTTCAGTTTTAGGCAGTTTCCTATTATCATTATGTCCTATTAGAATGAGAGGTCTATTGGTAGCTCTATATAAAGGACCCTAATATTGAGTAATGGGGGACTTTTGGGAGAATTATTTCTGGTGGGTCTTAATTATGTCAGACACCAAATTAATTCCAATAAAGCATTATTATTTTCGATTCTCTTCGGGTGCTCATAATAGATACGAAAATTGATCTTTCTCTTTGTCCTAGTTCGCTTTCATTCTCCCGTTCTCGATCTTGGACGAGATCTTGTTCGCGCGCTCTTAATAGAGGGTTTTGGATGGGAGGGGAGGGAAGTGAGGGGTTTGTGTGTTTGATTGAAGACTTGAAGGAAATAGAGGGAAGGGGAGGAAAGTGGAAGGCTTCCAAAATCCCCCACTTTCTCTCATTCTAAACCCCCAAATCGGGGTATTTCGGAGGAAACATGTTGATAACCACAAACTATCCACCTCCTACGTGAATGGACAAAACGTTATAATATAAAAAGGTAAAAAACATAAAATTTGAAAAATTAAAAAAATTTAAAGATTAAAAAATTTAAAATTTAAAAATTAAAAATTAAAATTTAAAATTTTAAAAATTAAAAAACAAAAAATTTAAAAATATAAAAATTTAAATTTTTTTTTTTAAAAAAATTAAAAAATTAAAAATAAAAAAATTATAAAATTTAAAAAGTTAAAAATCAAAAAATCAAAAAAATAAAATAAAATTATGACTCATGACCATATGAGTAATATTCACAATAGTTAGACATGTATCTATTTTTTAAGTAAGCTATCACATAAAGGTAAATTGCGAAAATATTTTCATTAAACCTTTCCTTCTATTTCCTCCAACCAAACACAATATTTTTTTTATCAAAAACCTTCATTCCCCTCCCCTCCCCTTCCCTCCCCTCTTTTGAACGAAACAAGGCCTAAGGGTGTGTTTGTGAGTTGGGTTTTTGGAGGGGAGGGAAAGGTTGACAAGGATTCATGACCATCCCTTTCGGCCTTGTTTGATTCAAAGGAGGAGAGGGAAAGGGAGAGTCAAGGAGAGAAGGGAAGGGAAGGGGAAGGAAGAATTTTGATAAAAAAAATTGTGTTTGGTTGGAGGATATAGCAGGAAAGGTTTAATGAAAATATTTTCGCAATTTACTTTTATTTGATAGCTTACTTAAAGCAATAAACTTGTGGCTTTGTTCATTTATTTCTCTTCTGCATAAACCACAACCACACAGTTTTTACTATTTTAATTTCACACCATCATCTTGGCAAAGTTGAGCGGGACAGAGTTAGTATGATACAAGTTCAAAATGATAGTATTATATTTTAACAAGTATCAACAAATTTTGTGACACAACGTGTAGCGCGTTGGACATGATCTTAGTTCAGAACTGAAATTCTATCCAATTTATAGTATGAAAAATAACAAGAATTTCAATCCAAAATCTTTATATTAATGTTTAGAATTGTATTAATGAGTTCAAAACTAGACTTATAATTCAAAAATGTAAACTACTTATTTCCTTTTTGACGGGCTGGTCTGGTCTCAAAAATTTAAGCCGAAGCAGACTGGGGCCTGGAACGGAATGGGGCCTTCACACAAAGTCATAAAGGAAATAAATTCACACTTTGACTTGGCACAAATTAAGGAAATAAATTTGACTTTACTGTAGAGTACACTGTTTGGCACTGTTTGGCACTGTTTTGGTGTAGATAATTTGACAAATAAGGAAGGGAGAAGAAGTGTGAAGTTTATTTTGGACCTACCCAAAAAGGAAAGTGTGAAGTTTATTTAGGACCGGAGGGAGTATCACATTTCACAGATGTATATTTTATGGGATGTTCAGGATCATCCCGTTTTTTCTCAGGATGTCCCGGTCTCGTTTTAAATGGGACAACATTGGGATAAAGGCTTATCCCAAACCGTACCGGACTGTTACTATAAAACCGGATTGGGATCGGGATAAGTCAAATCCCGAACCGTCCCGGACCGCGTCCACCCCTACTCTCTACTTTACCATCTTCATCCTGTTTCCCACTTTTAATACCCCATTTAATCTACCACTACATTAAATTAGGAGTTCAAAAAATTTCACCTTTAACTTTTCGGACTCATAATACTACACCACTAGAATGGAGTTAACGTTAGACTGTTGGAACTTGGATATTTTGCACACCCAAAATGTGTCATGTCTTAAAACTATAGCCACCTTCTATAGGATTTCCTTTCTTAAGCTAATGACTCATAACTATGTTTGTATTGTGAAGCCTAATGGAGTGCTTGGTTCAGTGCTTAAAAGCTAACATATCCATTCTTTTATTTAGTAAAGCACATTTAGTAATCGTTGACATGCCAATCTCCTATTGGTTAAGAAAAAATATACTACCAGTATTATTAAAACATTTAATTAGAGCGATTAAAGGAAAAGTAGGACAGAAAAACGTAGAGATAACTAAATTTAATTTGGAAAGAATGGCCACAATATTACTCCTCGACTTTGTATAGACAAAAATATGACTAAATATGATATTGACATAAATGTGTGACTACCGTTCTGTATCTGTGAGCCGCTGCATCTCTCCCTTGGATCCGCGACATCAAAGAGCCACATTACCTTCCCTTGGATTTGCGATCAAACTCCCCATTTCTTCTCTACGCATTTCTTCCCAGCGCATCATCTTTTCTCTGTGCATCTTCTCTGCGCAAAATCACCGGCCACTTCTCTACACATCTTCCTTGTTGTGCAAAACCTCCAGCCTCGTGTCTGTCTCGCCTCCGAATCACCTCACCACAACCTCGCCTCACCTCACCTCAAACTCGCCGCATAGGTTTGCCTCATTTGAGTCGTTTCGTCGCAGCCTCTCCGTACAACTTCACTTCACAGGCTGGCTCCGCCTTGCCTCCCCTCAGATGGATGGGTTACGGATTACCATATCTGAGATGGAGAGCAGTAAGTGACCAAACCAGATCTGGGGAGGGTGGCGGCTACGCTGAGGTGGTGGCTGGTCAGAGGTGCGCTGGTTTTTGAAGGTGGGTCTGGGAAGGGGTGGGTCGAGGCTAGGCTGTTTGGAATCGGAGTTGGGGGAGTGGGCTGGAGGTGGGCGGGACAGGGGAGGCTGGGGCTGGGGGCTTGGGGCTTGGGAACTGGTATGTGGGGCTGAAGCGTAGGGCTGGAGCGTTGGGATGGGGATTTTCTGGTGGTCGGTGTTGGGATGGGGTTTTCCCGGTGGGGGGCATTGGGATAGGGGTTTTCCGGTGGTGGGTCGTTGGGATGGGAGTTTTCCGGTGGTGGGCATTGGGATGGGGGTTTCCTGGTGTGGGTTCTCTGGTGGTGGTAATTGGTGGTGGCCGGAATAGTTGTGGTCGAAATAATTGGTGTCATTGCGGAGATGTAACTGCAGTGGCCGGCGGCGGTGGTTCACGGTGGAGTCACTACGATGGCGTCACTACAACGGCGTCACTGTTGCAGCGTCACTATGGTGACGTCACTGTGGCGGTGTCACTACGTCATTGTCACTATTTCCGGCGATGTTCTCCGGTCGGTGGCGGTCACCAGTCGGAGGTAGTGGGTGGTGGTGGTGGATGTCACTGCATCTCATGTCACTGTAGCGTTTTACTGTAGCAAATCACTATGGAAAGTGGATAAATAAGTAGGCTTATTAATTATTAATCACATTTTTGGAATTTTTAAAAAATGGTCACTTTTTTGTCAATCGGCCCTTTATTACTAATATTCAGGACAAAAAGCCCTTTAGTTTGAATCCACACATTAAAATATTTGTTTAACAACAATTCTGCTAATGTGTATCGATAATTATTAATTTCAAAAAAATAGCTAAAAGGGCTAATGGAAAAAGTACAAGGAGCAAAAGGTGAAAAAACACATGTTTGTGCATATCCACCAGGGAATAATTATCTTTTAATCTTTAATAATTTTCATATTATTATTATTATTATCATCCATTGTTCATATAGAAAATCTAATTCTCTTTTAATCTTTAATTTTTGGTATAAAATGTTTACCCATTTTGATTTAGAGCATGTTCGATTTTGCGCGCTAAATAGTGTAATAATAAGAAAAAGTAATATTGATGTTAGTCAATAGAGATGTATTAGCTGAATCAATCAATACAACATATTTGGGAATAATCAAAGGGACTTAATTTTTAGTGTTCAATTCTATTAGCACATACAACACTTTTCACTTTTAATTTTCATTTTATAACTATACAATCATATGATAAAAAAACATACAATCATTATTACTAAATTCTTTTAAACGTAAATATAAATAGAAACAATTTGATCAAGAATTGTAGTGCCTCGAGAACTTAATAGATGATCAATGATTTTTTGTTTTTCTTCTTGGTCACTAATTAGCTCGACATGATGATTATTATAGATCAAGATCGAATAAATGTTGAAGTTAGATAAATATTGAAAGAATATATACACAACGAGAGTCAAACCGTATATGGGAGCAAAGTCTGAAAAAAATGTATGTTATATTTAGGGATTATTTACTTTTTTTATAATCAACCCTGATTGGATTAAGATATCAATCCTAGATATCCTATTTCAATTAATTGTGAGAATGGACATATATTAATGTCGCAAAAATAATTATGTGATTTAGAGCCCTCATTTATTAGTACAAGGTTTATAGAAATCAAAACATAATAAAAAATAAAATTCTTAATTTATAGGACCATTTTAATAGTTAACATACCAAAACTCTGAGACACGAAAAAATGGTTCGATACACATAGATTGAGAAATAAGGATTCTTTTACTTGAACTGTTTCCAGTCACAAGTCGAACCGACAATAGAAAACCAAAGGAAAAAGGGACAAATAAACCCACGTACTAACAAAAAATGTCAAATAAACCTTTATATAGGAGGTTCTATCCCACCGTCGCGATTTGGGGCAGTTCCCAGTGGAATTTTTTGATGATTTTTTTTGAGAATCTTATTCATTAAGTCTAGTTTACTCATACCAAATTTCAGATAACAATTCAATTGGGAAGGCATTCAAATAAATTCTTGAATATAACTACGCTTTTAACTGCGCAGTTATCTTCAAGAATTCATTTGAATGTCTTTCCGATTGAAGTTTTAGCTGAAATTTGGTATGAGTAAACTAGACTTAATGAATAATATGCTCAAAAAATTGCATCAAAAATTTACACCGGGAATCGTCCCAAATGACGACGGCCGGACATAGCCTCCTATATAAGAGCTTATTTGACCTTTTTGATTAGTACGTGAGCTTATTTGCCCCTTTTTTCCGAAAACCAAATAAGACATAAACAGACTAAACTAAAGTTAAACAGAGCAGACCACACTAGAATTCATATACTAAACAGTTCTATCTTATAATTATTTGGAAATGATATTGTACTCTTGGCCATGTTATAAGCAATAGTTGTTGCTTTGCATCGTATGAACGTTCCTCAATTAATGTGTTCATAAATAGAGTATAAAACTAACAATAAGTTTAAGATAAAAATAATAATACAATTTTAGTGAATATATTCTTTTCTCAACAAAAAATGTTATTTGCAAGTTCAGTAGTAATTAAAAACCTCTATTAATAGTTAATATTATAATTTACATTAACATGCCACTACCGGGGCAATGCCCCGGGTGTTACACCACTAAACTAAAAAAACCAAGATGCAAGAGTCAGTGTGATCTGTGAAACTAAAAAGAAGCCATTTCTAAAGGATGTTATTCAACAATAAAGAAAAAGCAAAGTATTACTGAACTATGATTTTTTCCTTTGATAAGACAATGTACATTTATATTATGATAAAGCAACATTTCTCGAAACTTTTACAACATAAAATGTAAGACAAATATATTTAAAAACACTAAATCTACTTCTCCCACTCGATGTGTTGTGCATTGTACAATAATCATAAGCGTGTTCTGCTATCCAATTATACATCTGAACCTCATAATTAGAGCAAAAGAAAATAATCCTACAAAAAAAAACTTTATGCTCACATACCATTCCGAAACTACCTCGCAAATATTCCTTGAGATAAGTTTTACGCAAGGCACTTGAAATCTCTCTAGTGTATTTACCAGTTTAAAATAGTAAAAACTTTAATTTTGCATGAAGGCATAACTTTGGCCATACTCAAGTACTCAACACTTGACATCCATAGTCCACAATGTTTTGCCTACGCAGCAATTCCTGTAACATAATAAATCAGATTTGTCAAGCAAAATACCATAACGGCATACATAGTGGAATTTATACAGCATATTAACATGAACAAGACAGCACAAATTCAAGTAAACCAATACTTGGGATATGTGGACAAAATCATGTTCATAAGTACTCATTCAGCATATCTCATGGTACAGATAATTTGGAATCAAACTTGGACCTATTGCCTGGAAGTTGATGAAAATTGGTGGCAAGATACACCCATAATTCCATAAATGTTTAGAAATTTGTTTACAATAAAATATAACTGGTGGTAAGGTACACCCAAAGTGGTCATACAAATCCCCCAGGCAATGGCATAATCCCTTCAAGAATAGATTTCTGCTTTTTCTTTAAAAAAAGGGCTGCGCTTTTTTTGGTGAAGTGAGAGAGGAAAAACTAGCAATGCCCATCATCCAGCTCATTTCCTAGTAAATGCCAAGGATATAATGTTTAAAGGAAGTGGAACATGAACATGGGCATACATCAGGAAGGGCCGGGCCGGGCCGGGCCAGGCCGGAGCCCATCTCAAATTCAGTAAAACGACATTTGTATTGTGTACTTTTTTTACTGCAAAGCTTATATGCATAAATTATTTTGCTAGCCCACCCAAAATTCAAATTTCCGGGGATCCTGGCTACGCCACTTTACCTAGAACAAAATCAGCTAGAGTGTCCTGGCTGATCAGGAGCTAGTTTACCGCTAAAGTGCTAAACATATTGTTAAATTAGGAATACCAGAAGAGGAGAAGAATATCCTAAGAAAATCAAGCGAGACATTAGTTGAGAAAAACAAAATAGTACCTGTATTCGATCTATTTGTAATACTATAAGCACCAGCATAATCAAGCGAGTTTTTAGGCATAACAACATCTGAAGCCATACTTCCAAGCCCATAGCGGAAAGAACCCGAACCCTCCCGATCGGCTGATAATGAATGCCAGGTTTGGTCTTCAAAGAATGATGTATGGCTTCCAGATCCATAAGGACTTCCAGAATGAACATCTTCTTTTCCGGTAAGAGTGGATGTTTCACCAATAATGCTGCCACTGTATGGTCTATACCCTGCTACCCCAGAATTATTGTAGTTGATGATGTCATTTCTAGAAGAGCTGTTCCTTTTATGGTGATCTGGAACAGTGGACAAATCCCAAATAGTTCCAAAGCCTCCAAAGGCAGAAGACAATCCAATGCTGCTACTTCCTGAGCTAACAGAATCATTAAAAGTGGAAGAATTTGCATTGTTACGAAGAATTTCGTTCTCCAACATATTCCAATTCAACATAGAGCTACCTCCAATCCTCCCAGAAGTATATCCCATTAGATCACTTGGCCTAGTTGAATTCCCACCATAAATGTGTCCATAACCAATGTTAGAGCCAAAGTTCCTGCCTCCCCTGTAATTTGAACTCAATGCTGAGTCCAAAATTCCCAGAGAATAGCCGGAGGGGCTAAAGGAAGAGTATTGATTACGACCAACAGCAGTTGGACTGATTCTATCCATTGTTACTCCATAACTTCCATTTGTGGTTGGATTGTAGCCTAGAGTGTAACCGCTAAGGAGATTGTTCATTCTGTTCAAGCCAAACAGAGATACTCCTAGTGGACTGCGGATTTGCCCTGGAGATGATAACTCCTTAGGAACAGCTCGCTTTACCTCAACCATTTTACCATTGAGTTCATGAAATGTTTTGTACAAAACTTTATCCACGGCTTCCTCCGAGTCATAAGTGATAAATCCAAAACCCCTATGCCTTTGTGTGTTCTGGTCGTACATCACAACAACATCTGTGATTGTCCCAAATTGATCGAAATACTTCTTGAAATCACTCTCAGTCACTGAAGATGCTAAACCTCCCACAAATATCTTCTTTGTACGAATGGAACCTGGTGAAGACTGCATGCCTACACTATTTCTATTCACCTGGTGGTCATCTCTAGGCACAGCCTTCTTTGCCTCTACCTGGTTTAAACAGTGCCGTGGAAATTAAAATGAGGTGCATTCGCTCACATTCCAAAAATATGAAGATCAAAAGATAAGAAAATACATACATTTTCTTAGTCTGAGGAATTGTATGGCTCAGGGATTTTGGAGGGAAGGGAATGAGAGGACCAATTTTTATTTTTCTATTTAATTCTATACTAAATAAAATTGTATGATTACTCAGATGACTCAGAAATGATTTAAAAAATAAATATCACCCTGCCCGTCCCCTCTCCTCCAAAATCCCCGGCCAGCCGGGCCAAACAAGCCTTAAGATCACACATGACTGATGCAAAAACAATGAATATATTTAAACATTTCTCCTCGTTTTGCAAGTTCCTTAAAATTATTTAAATACAATATGCAAAAGGGAAACATAAATATACATTTTACTATGCAATGAAGACAAAATCATATTCTAGATAAAAATCAGTTCAATATGCATTTACTCAGATTTGTTATAAAGTTACGATACTGCATTGCGTATATCTTATTTATTTATGGTAGAGAGCCCATATGTGATGCGTCAATAAGAATTCAAAAGAATCGTTGACAACATACAATTATGAAATATGAGGTACATTGTGGTTGTAATGATTTAAATTTAAAACTTACAGTTCGACCATCAATCATATGCTTCTCCTTGACTACTCTTTCGGCAACAGAAGGATCAGCAAAAATAATAAAACCAAAACCACGGGCACGACCAGTGGTCCGATCTTTCATGATCACTGCCTCGACTATTTCACCAAATGTTTGGAAATACTCTCTGAGACTATCTTCATTGGTGTCCCAAGAAATCCCACCAACAAATACTTTACCAGGTTCCATTTGAGATCTGCACAAACCAGTTATATTGATCTCCTATGACTGTGGAAATGGATAAACACAAGTTCCAAACATATCAAATTCACTGAATGGAACATCCCTCACATCGCACATAATCAATATCACTTTATAGCCAAAAGGGTGCAACAATAGATCCAAACAATTAAGAAGTAAATGACAAAATTGATTACAAACCAGTGCGCATACGATCTACCTTAACCTTTACTTATAACCATCCATCAATCAAGCAATTATAAATTTATTACTCCGTATAATAGATGCCAAAATGCATACTCCGAATGATGCAACCATAAAAGCATAAAAACCAACATAAACAACCGAATCCTGAATTTCGTAATCAATCAGGCAAAACAAAACATGCAATCAACTAATCAAGAACAATATCATTCGACCTCCTACAAATAAAAAATCAAAAGATCGTGATCATGAATCGCATAAGGATCAACATAATATCATCATTGAGATGAAAGTCATGAAATAATCAAGGACAAACCGATACAATAATTCAAGGAATCTATGCTCATAAATTTACCAAGAGAGGTAGACCCGGACGAAAACTGATTTGAACTCAAGATCAGAGGCGAGGCATATATACAGAAGAGGGCACTGAAAAGGCCCTCTCTTTTCCTCGATCTTTTTTTTTTTTTGCTTTTTTACTTCAATTTCAATGTTCACCCTCTGCTCAACTGCCCCGGTAATTATATGGACATATAGAGAGATGAAAGATAAAAGAAAGGAGAGAAAAAGAGAGTTTGTAGCATATTAGCAATGGAAAAAGTTAGCTATAATTAAGGGAAGGGGAATTTGTGGTTTGAAATCTTGAAATAATTACGGAGTATATTTTACTCGTTTAATGTGAGGAGAGAGTTCATTGGCTAATATTCTCTTTATTTGCTTAATTATCCCAGGTCCCAACTACTAACTCTCTAATAATTATTATTATTACAAAAACGACGAAAACGTTAATTATGTAAGAATGATAAAAAGTGATAAAAAGTACGGAGGACATATACAAGACCCCTTTTTTATTGTCACATGAGAACTTTTACACTAATGCCGTTTTCTTTTGTATTATTTTCACTCCATTATTAGATTAATCAAATCGGAGGAGATCAGACTTAAATAAATCGGATTAGACCAGATTTAAATAAATTAGATTAGACCAGACCAGACTCAAACAGAACAAATCAGGCTTGATAGTTATAAAATACACAACTCATATAATTACCAGACCATACCAAATCAGTTCAAACCAGATTAGACTAGACCACACCATAATTAAACAGACCAGAAACTTACACTCCAAAAGAAAACATGCTAACACGATAGGTCGATAGGCAAATCAAATTGTATTATTCATAATAATTTATTATTTTAGGGAGTTGCTTTGGGCACCACCTAAATTACTTAATATAACTTCACTAACACATATATACCCTTATGTTACCTTTTCCTTTTCGCACAACTAATGATCATGTGCCGCTCTAAATACGGAGTATTTTAAATTTCTTGATGCCTTTTAAATTTTAGTCCTTTCGAAAATTCATTTTGTTAAATAGATTTGGAACGACGTGTTCGTATTTAATTTTTACTTCTATCTGCAACTTGCATCAATTTGTTTTTGTATATCTTATATATCATAATAGCTCGTTTGGTAACATTAAAATTGAATGATTTTGATGGATTTAATGAAATTTTGGCTGAGGTAGTTGGATTGGCTGCTTCTGCTGAATAATGAATTTTTTTTATTTAAAATATATTTTATTAAATAAAATAAAGAAAAGATTATATAAAAAATAGTTAAAATGTTCATCTACAATAATTTCAATCAATTCTGACTGAGACGTAACTCTAACCATACTAATGTTTATTACGCAATTCAACCGTGAGGAGAGGCTGCGGTGGGTGAGAGGAGGCTTTGAAGAATGGGGTGAGATGCTGAAATTAGGATTAAATGAGTCCTTCAATTAATCCAAGTCATATTTAGGGAAACAAAAAATAGTCATTTTTTAGGAAATGTGGCTTATATTGATATCACATCATTCAGATAAGGGCTAAAAAGACAAAAGAGATCATAGGCAACCACCGACCCTCGAACCAGACTTAGAGTTAACCAACTCCATAGAAGCAATATAACTCGCTGATCCATTAATGGGCGCAACTGAGCCAAAGATGGAAAGCACATACCTCCTGTCACCCCAATCCAAACTCAAAGTCTTTTATCTCATGAAAAACAAATTAAATAACAAAACACAAAGTACTTTATTCCTAAAAGCAGCAATAATAACTAAAAGATAAATTCCCTGTTGTGTCTTCGAAAGTATGAAGACGAGCCAACGATCAATGTCAGCACCTTGCATCTGCATCTTCAGCGGGCTTAGGCACCTGAGCCCGCCTCCTCCTCGTTTTTTGTTTTATCTACCGCCATATCATCCTTATCCAGCCTCTCTTTCTCCTGATCCTCCCAGATTCTTCTTCTCTGTTCCCCGGCCACTTCATCAGACCCCCCCCCCCCTCCCTCTCCTTTGATGTGCTATCCTGTGAACTAGTCGTAGATTCCTTCCAGCCTCTTCCTCCTGATCCTTCTCCAACCTTGGAATTCACATGAAAGTAGTGATTATTAGATGCACTGGGTGAGCCCTCCACTAGCCACTTATTTCCACCTCTGGGACTAGACTTCATTCCACCTCCTGCTCTCAGACTAACTCCAAAAGATTTTTCCAAAACCACATTATCCTCATAGGTAAGAGGGCAAAAATTATCAGCATGTCCAATAATTCCACAAATAAAGCAAAAATTAGGCAATATTTCATATTTAAAATCCACCCAGTGCCCCACCCCTTCTTTCTTAAGGGATGTTCCTTTTTTCAAAGGTTTGCGGATATCCATGCAGATTGTGACACGTAGATAAGATTTCCATTTTTCCCCAATCTGAAAATCATCAAATTTAACAAACCTGCCAAGAGCATTACCGATTCTTCTAGTCGTTCCTAAATTCATCAAGCTATAAGGAACATTATGAATCTGAACCTAGAACTCTGTCTCATACAGATCCATTTTAATAAGAATATCGTCAGGTTTAACCTCTTTTAGAATCAGTAAATTCCTTTAAAAAAGCCACGGACCACCATCCAAAACACGTTTCGTATCCATAATATGATAAAAGGTGAAGAGATACATTTTCTCTTCAATTTCTTTGATAGACACTCCCTTACCGGTCTCCAAAGTGAAGCCATCAGGTCCTTGAAAATCTGGAATTTGATCTTCTTATCTGTCAACTGGGTACCAACTACCGGAAAAGTCGGCCTTGAATCCTCCGTCATAATCTCGTCGATTTCTTTCTCATCCAAGTCTACTTCCTCCATCATTTCCCCAATATTCATCTGATTGTACTGGCTGACTATGGAGTCCATGGAATCCTCCGAATAAAGCTAGAAATTCACGCCCGCTGCTCCTCCCCTGTGAATAACCAAAGAGCCGCTGCAATCCATACTGCTATGTTACTAGAACTGCTCCTCGACGCAAGCTGATAGCAGAAAAAGGACTCTAGCAGCGATTTGCTCTAGAGAGCCAGATACACCGATCAAAAAACAAAGCAATAATGACAAAAGATCCTACTCGCTCACGCTTAGCAGTGCACCAGCCGTGCATGAGTCCAGCTTCAATCCTCCTCGAGCATCAATCTTCTCCAAGCCGTATTTTTGGATTGGCGGCCATTAGGGTTCTCCTCTTCAGCTTATTTTCTTTTAAAAGGATAATTGAAAAGCAAATAAAGTCATATTTTAGAAAAATGCAAAGCTAACTGGTAATTTTGAGGCCATTTTTTCTTTTTTTATTTACTTCCAGATTTGTTATCATCATTATCACCACCACCACCACCATCATTATCATCATCATCATTATTAATAATTTATTTATTATTATTATTTCATCAATATCAACAAAAGATGATTCTCTATTCACGTGCCAATTTTAAAATGGTGAAATTTTACGCTCAATGCCTCAAACTTTGCATCATTTCTAAAATGGTACTTAAATGCTACTTGATGTTGCTTGCATTGAATATGACATCAAAACTACTCAACAATAAAGAATTCCAAAGTAATTTGTCCAAACTGATATTGTGCGTACTAAAAGAGACTAGCTAGAAATATAATGGGTCACATCAAAATGACTGTCTCAACCATACTATTTAGTATCTACTATTTGTTTGCTCCTCACCAGCTATATTTCCCCAAGTCATGATATTGCAAAGCAAATACATCCTCCATATGGTAAAATGCTCATTTTAAAGTGTTTTCAATTATACTATAATTTTACCATTTGCCTTATATCGTGTATTTAAGTCTGATTTTATGTGTTTTATTATTAGTTAAATTTGACCTGATTTATTTGATTCTATCAAGTTTCGTGAGATATAGTCTGATATTTATGAGATTGAAAATAAGTCCAAGTGAAAATATGTTTATATTACAGGGATCATATCACAACAATTCAAATATATAAGCACACCATAGTAAGGAAAACTCATATTGTTTGGTGACGTTGTATTTTAATGAAAAGTTCAAAATAGAAAAGAAATAGTTCGAACTTCAAAGTATACCAATATCAATGAACAGGTAATGTTTGTTTTATGTGTAATTCTTGTGTTCATGTGGCTAATCATTCAATATACAAAGTGAAGAGAAAAACTATCACACTTTCCCGGCAAAAATCATCTAATTATGGGGCTTGTACGCAGAATGTCATATATACATCCTTTCAACCTAGAACTATTGTGTGGGCCATAGTCATTTGATATTGTTTTGATTGGTGTCCATTTTCAGGTGTCAAATTACTATCATGTTTGCGTCTTATTCAATATTGAAATACACCTAATCAATATCTCAAAAGATCTGTTAATCAATATTGCAAAACTTTTACCAACCATATCAAAATTGATATTTCTGACCCATACAACATGATTTGTGAGGTACTGACCATTAAATTTCTGAAATGCATCCCATGTAATTTTGTCTCACCATCACCAACCATACACAATTGTCAATTTTAAGTTACAATTAAGTTTTACTCTATAAAAGACCACTTCATAGCGATTAAATGCATACATTATTTCACCACAACCATGTCTAATAATCCCAATCAAAATAATATATTGTCTCTCATTGGGGATGTTGAGAACAAAAAAAAACTTGGACATCAAAGGTTAGAGTGACATGGGCATATGAGGTTCCATCTTATTCTAAGGGAGGGCAAACATTAGAAATTATTTTACATGACGAGGAAGTAAGATTCTTAATGTATTGAACTTGAAAATGGCATACAAGTATTCACACTATTATTTTACCACCTCCATATCAAGTTTCTGAATTTTTTTGATTATGTACTTATTTATATATTTCGAATATAAACCATTTTAAAAAGGGTAAAACAAATAGCAGTAATTGTTAATTAAAACTTGAAAACACTTTTTGAATTCATAATTATATGTTGCAATCGTTATTAAGAGTGGATGGATCCATGCTTCAATTAAAAGACCATAGGTTGGCACTACACAGTCCTAAAAAGATGCGCATAAAGACTAAGATTGAACCTTCTTATCTAGGATCAAATAAGACTTTTGTACTGATGGATTATAGGGGTATCCAAACTATAATAAAATGGAGAGATTTGAGCTAATGTGAGGAAGAAGATAAATGAATAGTAATGTGTATTAGAGTTGTGATCTTAGAGTTTACATGCTCCAAATGGCGTATAAATAGAGAAATAATGGGTCGGGCCGCTAATATGGGCCCGACAAGCCCAACTACATAAAAGGCTAATCTGGTACATACAAATGATATATGATCTCTACAATAATACAAATGATATAAATGACGTCCGATAAGCATGTGTGGGCCGCTGTCCGGGCCCAATAGTCGTGAGACTCGGGGGTCCGAGTCTATATACTCCATCAGGAGTCCCCCACTCCCTGAGACGAGAGTACTCGAGGCGAAAGGGAGTAGAACTGTGTGCTGATCTATCGACTGATGAGTAAACTTCATGAAAAAATTTGAATTTCTGCTTCTTTGGTTAACGGAGGCGCTGAGTCCCCTGCTCTTCCAGTCCTCCACTCCTTGAGGTGAATGTAGTGAGGTGAAGAGGAGTAGAGTAGTGCATGTCTCATTATGTCTTCAATAGGGGGCCGAGGGTCGACACCTTTTGATCCACAATGGGGAGATGCCTCGTTAAAAACCTCATTAAGAAAAAACCCTGTGGGAAAAAATCCCAATGAGGGAAAAAGAGTACACCGGATGCCCCCAAAATGAAGCAAAAGGGGTGAGCCCTTCGGCCTAGGTGTGGAGCTGCAACGGTGTCCGTCTCCTGAGAGGATGGTCGAGACCAGTCTCTAGATGTGAGTAGCTCGACATGATAAGTAGTCCTTGTCATCAAATAAAGATGACTAAGAGATAGGTCGAGTGACCGTCCATAATATGATGTCCGGGTCGTCAAATAAAGTGTCCGAGACGTGTGGCCGAGAGGTCTATAAGAAGTCCAAGCCATCAAATAAAGATGACCATGAGAGACGGCTAAGTGGCCGGTATGATGTCATCATATAGTTGCACCTATGCATTCAAATAAAATTGTTATAATTTCTTGAGCTTATAATTTGCTATTGGATTTGGGCCTAAATTAAGTGGCCTCAAATTTCCAAGCTAGGGCTCAAGCTAGATTTCTATGCTTAGTTGAGCGTGACACGCATAAAGGATTGAACCTACCGCCAAAGGATTGCAGTTCATTTCCGATAGCTAGAGGGCACACATAACTCATACAAAACATATAAATTAAAGTATGTATTAGATACAATTTGGATTGGGAGCTTACTATCCACACTCGTTTGACGTGACCCGGTGGCGCGAGTGTGTGTGCTCGCCCGGTGTACGCGAGTGCTCGGAATTTCATAAGTCAATTTTTTCAATGTCAAAAAATACACACTATTTAAAAAAATAATGATAATAAATTAATAATCTAGCTCAACTTGTCACTCAAGTTCGTAGCTGGGATCCGCTAGACGCTATTTACGGCTCTTTTCACGGATGACTCACCCCTTGAGATTGAAGTTTGATGCTATATTATTAAAATATTTCATTTATGATTTTTTTGCAATAATTTTTTATCAAATATGTTCACATATTAATGGTATGGAGATAATTTAAGAATACTTAGCTTTTGGAATTGAGCTGAAATTGAGGGCTGGTTGGGCTGAAATTGAGGGTTGGTTGGTTTAGTTGGACCTTTACTCTTTACTGGGCAGCTCCAAAATAGAAGACCTAATTGATAAGAAGCTGCTACTGTAGCTCATCGAGGGGAGTGCGCAGCTCCACCTTTCACGTTTGGCGAGTGCGCAGCAACCATCCCAAGTACTCAAGTAGCATGCCGCTACTGTAACTCATCTAGGGGAGCAGCCATCAGTGGCAGAGGATGGTGAAGGCGCAACTCTGTCGGACAGCACCAGCGGCAAAGCTTTCTCAGGCGGAAATTGGAACCTTCCTCAGGCGAATCCAGCGGTAGAGAAGAAACGACTCGGAGCGAGGTTGCCGAGACTTCGGCAACCGACACTAGCGACGAAGCTTCCTCGGGCGTGACTGATATCCTCTTCAAGTTGAGTCATAGGAGCGCACTGCTTTATGATTTTTTACCCGTGGAGCTCTCAACGACCATTAATGGTGGACCTGTGAGGCTTACTCCTGCAACCGAAGAGCTATGGACATTACAGTGGTGCCCCCAGTTCCGACCATCGAGCTGTTGTGGCGAGATATGGAGACTGTGTAGGCGGGTTTGAGCAGGCATCAAGCTTCAAATAATGGCTCACGGTGCGACCTGGATGGATCTGGCTCGACGGCTCCAGCTCTGGTCAGGGGAATCCACATTTCAAATTTTACATATTTCGTTCCTTTTTTTTCTCTGTGTTTTCAGAACAATTTTTCAGAGATTTCTTCAAAGATGTAATGAAATTTTGGGATTCTAATGAATTTCTTGATGTTTGTGGAGAGGAATCTCACTTGATTTGGCTCAAAACTCTCAATGAAAGCACCATTGATGGATTATAGGGATCCAAACTATAATAAAATGGAGAGATTTGAGCTAATGTGAGGAAGAAGATGAATGAATAGTAATGTGTATTAGAGTTGTGATCTTAGAGTTTACAAGCTCCAAATGGAGTATAAATAGAGAAATAGTGGGTCGAGCCGCTAATATGGGCCCGACAAGCCCAACTACATAAAAGGCTAATCTGGTACATACAAATGATATATGATCTCTACAATAATACAAATGATATAAATGACGTCCGATAAACGTGTGTGGGCCGCTGTCCGGGCCCAATAGTCGTGAGACTCGGGGGTCCGAGTCTATATACTCCATCATGTACCTTCTCACAGTTTGCTCCAATTTTTATTTCTAAAGCATTTCTAAGGACTTTTGTACCTTCTAAATCATAATATCTAAAGCATTTCATATGTATGAATTGTGATTATGATGAATTGTGATTATGATTTCACACATTTATACTATGTTTTTGTACTAAGACATTTATATTAAATTTGATTATATATATTTTGTTCCATGCATCACGCGAGTGATAATCTAGTGTCTATATAAAAGATATTTCACTCTTATGTTCTTGCGTATAACCTATTTTATTAACGGTTGACATCACTATCATGACATCTTCTGAAGTAAATGTCGTAATTCCTAAAAGAATTGTTCTAATTTCTTATTTCACCTATTCTAGGACTATAATTCCTACAATAAAATAAACATTTTTTTAAAAGACTATAATATACATAAATTATATTATGTAAGAATCTAAAACTCACAAAGATAAAACCTTCATTCGATAGGATAGCTCAAATATTTATTTAATGAAAAAACAAAATGTTCCTTCTCAGTCTTTAAGTGCACAACTATATATCGACATGATATGAGAGTACCCATCTTTTTACTTTACAAGTTGATGTTCCCATCTTTTTCTTTAATGAAAAAACAAAATGTTCCTTCTCAGTCTTTATGTGCACAACTATATATCGACATGATATGAGAGTACCAAATCACCAATATCTTTTACTAATTAAAATCATTAATACTCCGTAACATTTATCATTGAGATATTTCAACGAACACATAATAGGTAGGTACAACAGAAATTTAAACTTCTTGCGATAAAAATTAAAAGTACTTTTAAGCACTTTTACTTGCAATTTTGATTTTAAAGTGATTAATTTGAGTATAAATATAGATATATCTTATGCACTTTTCAAGTAATAGAAACTAGGGACCTAGAAACTAACCTTAAATTAGTGAAATAATAATTTACCCCTAATATAGATACTCCTAATAGTACAACTCAATTTACTACTCCTTGCATTTAAATATTTTTTGATCAAGTTTGACTAACACGTAAAATAAAAAAAAATGTAATTAAGATTTATATAGAAGAAAGGGAAATTATTTTAACCACTTTGTTTAGTTTTAAATGAAAATTATAAATTGGGAAAAGTACGGAAAAGATATATATGGTTTGAGCCATTTTCAGATAGGGGCATGTGTTTCGTTTTTCCACAAAGTGAGTCATGTGTTTCAATTCCGTTATCATAGCCGGAGCATGGCGTGTAACGCCGTTAGAAAAATTAACTCCAATTTTCAAAAATTTCAGAAAAATTAAAAGAAAAATATTGGAATGTGCGTCTCATTAAGGAGACCAACTAACTATCGTTCTCTTTGTATTTTTCGACTCTTTGGACGGACAACAGGAGATGTCGGAGTCCAGGTAACGACATGAGGGTTCCAGGCACTGAAATACGTTGTTAGAGGCGGCAGCATCCACGGCTGAGAGATGGCAAGGTGCGGCTGAGAGGAAATAGAAGAGGGCTGCTGTGCGGCGGAATCAGCAGAGGAAACCACCGGCGACGTCATCTGAGCAGCTGCGGAGGACTGAGGCTGCGTGGAAGAGTCGGCGACGGACGTTTGAGGCGCGGAAGACACATGTCGCAGCTGATTTTTTTAGGGATTTTTAGATGTGGCTCTTCATACCATGAGCGAAATAATACTACGCTTCACCTTAATGGTAGCCTTGAGAAATATATTTATAGTAAAAAGAGTTCTAATTACAATAGGAATCCCAGAATAATAAATAATAATAAAACTACTCTATTATCTATTTGGATTAGTTTTTTAAAATGAATTCGTTAATATCACTTTTCCAGTGGACTTTCTAGTGTCAGGGTTGTTGGAAACAAAAAAGAAAGATATATGTAGATTTTCTTGACAAGTCACACCTTGTAATATTTTTTTTTGCGATGACCTTGTAGTATTTTTCTTTTAATTTTTCGAAAACTTTTGAAAATAGAAGTTAATTTTTGTAATGGTGTTAGATTGCCGTGCACCAACTGTAACCTATCCTTATTATAAAAATTCTTTTTGTACACTTTCTTATACACATCAGTACACCTCGTGTCTGTGAGAGTTTTTTTTGTCTGTGAATCCCAGTCCACAGACAAAAATAGACTTGTTTTGTCTGTATAATTTTTCACACACAAAAATCCTGTTTTCACATAAAAAAACTCTCATAGATACGAGAGTGTACTAATGTGTATAAAAAGGTATGTAGACATTATTTATCTGTTTGGTCTGCATTAATTATTTATCCTTATTATTTGCCGTATGTTTAGAACAGAGAAGCGCAAACTACCAAGCACCAGCAAAGAACCGATGGAAATCGCCAAGACGGACTGCGGCGTCGAACTTCCAAGCAAATGAATGGGTAGCAGGGAAGAGCGATGAGCTGAGACGAACTGAAGAAGTGGAGAAACTTCCTTGCTCTACCACTACTTCAGCCCTTCGTTATCTCAGAACCCCAAATTGAGGTGTTCACATCGCAAGGTATTCATACCTACTGCCATTTTGAATTTCTCCACTGCTATATACTCCGTATGTATTGACTGTGACCAGTCCATGCCATGTTGCCGTTTCTCTTAGGTCACCTGAAAATCTGCCCAATTAAGTCGATGTTTGTATCTCAAAGGCAATGAAGATAAATAGAGTCTGCTTCTCTTTCGGTAGAAATTACACATTTACACTCTCATGGTTCTTTTTCTTCTCGTTTCGAAATTTTCTTTTTTCACTCTCACACATTAATGCACACAACCTCACGGCCCTCAGACGAATTTGGATCATTCCTCTGCATTTTGCATCAACCCGCACCCCAGGTCTCGGCCCCCCCCAGAAAAAAGTTATGATGCATATGCATATGTATAAATATTTGTGGTGAAATTTTAAAGTTTGGTCCTCACAATATAAAATCTTTAAGCCTGGCCTCCCTAACCTACTATATATGTGCAACAACAACAACAACATCCAAGCCTTAGTCCCAAAAGATATTGGGGTCGGCTAACCTACTATATATGTGCATGGGCAATAATTATAGAGTCCTTCTTCATCTACACGTACGCCCCGTTTTACATGCCAAGCAGACAATTTTTGGATGTGCTCCTTCAATATCTAAAAGAAATTAATTTTTCTCGTTTTCTTTTATTTCAGTGTTTTTAGAAATAAATTGCATATTTCTTCTGCTAATTTGATTTTCAGAAAACACAAAATGGGGCAGTATTTTTTGAGAGCATCAGTGCGCAATACAGGGATGTTTAGGATGCAAAGGAAAAGCGGTTCAGTATAATTTGGTAGGAAATTGTAGAAATGCAAACATTAAAGACTGTTGCATTCTCCAATGAACCTGTTCTTGAACCACTTAAGCTCATTGCTCCAGAGTTGCATGAAACTGAAACTGCTCCCACAAAGCAAGCAAATTCATGCGGTAATGTTAACATCCTGCCTAGATGTGAATATTCTGCCACTGAATTCAAAGCTTATTGGTGTCTATGCTAGTTGTGGAGACTTAGGTTCTGCTGAGTTGATCTTCCAAAGGACACAAAATCCAAATATCTTTGCATTCAATTGGATGATCTCAGCTCTAACATTCAATGGCTACCAAGAAAAAGCTATCGGGTATTTGTCCATGCTCCAAGAATCAGGGATTACTGTGAATAAGTACACCATTTCTATAGTATTGAAAGCCTGTTTGGGATTGAAGGATTTAAGGAAAGGAAAGGGAGTTCATTGTGTGATATACAGGTTCGGGTTTCAAGTAGATTTACCAATTGGGAATGCATTACTTGACATGTATGGTAAACTGGGGAATATGCGCTATGCACATTTGTTGTTTGATAAAATGTCTGTCAGAGACGTCGCAACCTGGACATCACTGCTATATGGGTATTCTATCATGGGATGTATCAAAGAGTCCCTTAATTTGTTTGAAAGAATGAAGTTAGATGGCTTAAAGCCAAATGAATTCACTTGGAATATCATCATATCTGGCTATGCCAGGAGAGGAGATTATAATGCTGCTTTCGGCTTGCTATCTATGATGAGTCAAGAGGGGTTGGAATCCGATTTGGTGACCTGGAATGCAATGATTTCGGGGTTCATCCAAAGCCACCATTATGGTGAAGCTTTTGCGCTGTTCCAAGAAATGTTATCTGCTGGTCTAAACCCAAATGAGAGCACCGTCACCTCGCTTCTTACAATGTGTGGATCGATTGGCTCAGTTAAGACAGGGAAAGAAATCCATGGTTCAATGTTCAGAATGGGGATTAAAATTAATGCCTACGTTTCTAGTGCCCTTGTGGATATGTATGCAAAATGTGGCCGTGTCAAAGATTCTTGGAATGCATTTAGAACAGCTCCCTTCAAGAACTCAGCATCATGGAATTCCATTATTGGATGCTATGGAAAGCATGGCATGGTAGACTCTGCAATAGAACTATTTGAGAAGATGCAATGTGAAGGAGTGCAGGCAACCGAACTCACTTTCACTTCTCTTCTTTCTGCATGTAGTCACAATGGATTAGTTGAGAAAGGTTTGGATATTTTTAGATCCATGGAAGCGCTCTATAGCATTCCGGCAAAGAAGGAGCACTATGCATGTATTGTTGATCTACTTTGTCGTTTTGGTTGGATGGAGGAAGCTTATAGTATCATAATACAAATGCCAATAGAGGTTACAGATTCGACTATAGGTGCCTTCTTAAATGGTTGTAAGGTTCATGGGAGGAAAGATCTTGTTGACATGATGGCTAAGAAAATTCCTACTATGGAGTTGAGAAGATCGGGGAGTTTTGTAACCCTCTCAAATGTTTATGCAGCTCAAGGAGAGTGGGAAAATGTTGAAACAGTGCGGGAAGTGATGAAGTACAAAAGTTTCAATAAGATGCCTGGTTCCAGTTGGGTGTCCGGTGTAGACGACATGTCAAAATAATGAGGTAATCCCTATGTTCTCTGTCCCTTACTTTTGTCCCATTTCAGTTCATCTCAAAGTTTTAGTTTCATACCATATTTGACAATACTTATGCGGCTCAGTGTAAACATATTTCACCCATTCAAATGGAAGCATACAAATTTACCTAATATTCCTCATTTGTGCATGCCAAGTGTGTTTCAATTTTTGGTACATCAGAGGGTAGGCAGATGTATTGGCAGAACAAATACGGTTTTGGTAGACCTGTTGAGAACAAAAAAGATCAAATTTGGGAACCGTACAAGTGAATAATGAATAACCCTCTCTTTCAGATTCTCATACCTGCATCTCAAGATTGAAGCATCTATGAAACTCCGTCTTTCATGGCCTCGCCACAAGCTTCTCAACCTTCTCTAAGTCTAAGAATCTACTTAAGTTGGCATTCTCCCTCAACTTTCTCTATAGTTTCTATCTCCATCTCTGGTAACATACCATAACAACAAATGTATCCACTATCTAAAATCTCATCGATTATTTTCTTGGCCTTCCAGATTCAAATGAAACCCAATTTTTTAGTTTAAGACCAAATATTGTATTTTGACAGAAGTTAAATTTAAGTATGCAGACTAGGTTTCTAATATTCTTTGGTTCTATATGTTTTAAACCAATCTTGTGGCAAGAGGTAAACTATGAAGTTATGACACATTTCAACAAATTCCACATCGTATTCATCATCATTAACCCAGTGCCGCAAAGGCTCCCACCTACGGTGTGGTAAGGGGGTCGGATGTACGCAGCCTTATCCATGTACTAAAGCACATAGAGACTGTTTTTGGATGATTCATAGTGAAAATCGCGCCGAAAATTACATGGACTGGCTGCTACTACGTACTTCACAACAAAAAGCGCAGACAGTTTGATGAGCCGTTTTGCTTTATTCCATCACATTCTCAAGCCAAAAAATAGTGTGTCTTTGGCTTCATTGCAAATGATGGAATAATTCCACATCGTATTAATGATTGCAAATATGCATGCATAATTAAAATCGCACCGAAAAGAGCAGTAACAAGAGGAACCAAAGTTCATCTATTAACAAATTGATGAATAAAATTAGGAAAAATTCACATGAATAATCCGAACTATTAGCGGTCTTCCCAAATTAATTTAACCTATTAGTAATTTCAATATAATCTAAACTATAATGGATATCTTCTTAAAATAAACCGGTGACCTGCATAAACCAAATCAGCAGGTCACCTGTACACGGGTCGTATGATTAATGGTTCTGTTTGCTTTCCCTTTTTCTTTGCTATCATTATTTTCTTTTCCTTTTTGCATTCGTTCCGCTAAATGGTTTTATTGTTCATAGATTGTTCATCTTCCTTACTAAAATGGTTTCACTATTCTCGAACCAATAGAAATGCCAAATCAGTTAAAGAAACTTCAATCTCGAAGGAAATAATCCAATGTATTCAGCTATTAGTTACTCCCTCCGTCCCGCTAACAATGGAACAAGAGGAAGTGTCACGCAAATCAATAAAAAGTGGTTTATGTGGTTGATATTGAATTGATAAAGTAAGAATAAAGTAAGAATTATTTAGAGTTTGGTATGAGACAATCTTAGTGGGATGAACCGATAAGGTAAAATGTGACAATCCTAGCGAGACGGAGATAGTATATATCTTCAAGGAAGATATGACGCAGATGGAGTCCTCTGTTGTTTCACAATCTTAGTAGGTCATCTTTTTCACTTTCTCGCCAGCAACCATCGACACCCAATTTAGATATGGGTGACCAATTTAGATCTATTTAAAACCCACAAGAGGTAATAGGTGGATCTGTGGAAAGGAGATTTCCATTTCCAGAGGAAGGAGAAAATTATAGAAGAAAAAAGGAATGAAAAATTATGGCTATTCAGAAAGTGCAGGCGAGGATGAAAAACGTGTGGAAGCAGCCGGCCAAGAGGATCAATCTGTTCACCTTTTTTCCTTTCTCATTTTAGTATTTTAACCTGCTGAATAAGTTGCAGGTAACCTGGATCAACTTGAGAGGACCCTTTATAAATTTCAGATTATTTTAGAATTATTTATATTTGGGATTAATATTGGAAGATCATGAACAATTGAGATTATTAATGTGAATTTTGCCTTAAAAATATGCACAAGAACTAAACTAGACATGCAAATATGAGATTACCATGGGATTGAACCTTTAATTTTGCTCATCCATTAACAAAGCCATGAGAGCAGGAGGTGAAATAAGTAATTGAGCATTAATGCCTGGAAAATCCAGGCATGTGCGGACTTCAGAGTTCAGAGTTAACGTTCTTCTTGAGACATATCTTTTCTTTTAGGGTGTGTTTGGGAGTTGAGTTTTGGAGGGGTGAATGTTGGGGGTTTATGACTTCTTTTCATATTTGGGAGTTTATAAAATTGTAGGCCATGTTTGGTTGGAGGGTTTCGGAGGGGACGGCAGGAATGTGGTAGGCTTTCAAAATCCTCCACTTTCTCCCATTCTAAACCCCCAAATCGGGGTATTTTGGAGGAAATGTTTTGATAACCACAAACTATCCATCTCCTACGAGAATGAATAAAATGTTATAATATAAAAAGGTAAAAAACAAAAAGTTTTGAAAAATTAAAAAATTAAAAAATTAAAAAATAAAGAAATTAAAAATTAAAAAAATTAAAAAATTAAAAAAATATTTAAAAAATAAAAAAATAAAAAATTAAAAAATTAAATAATTAAAAAATAAAAAAATAAAAAAATTAAGAAATTAAAAAATTAAAAATTAAAAAAATTTAAAGATTAAAAAATTAAAAATTTTAAAAATTAAAAATTAAAAATTTTAAAAATTAAAAAAAGTAAAATTATATATTAAAAATTTTAAAAATAAAAAATAAAAATTTATAACATAAAAATTAAAAATGAAAAATTCCAAACTGAAAAATGAAAAATTATAAAATTAAAAAAGTAAAAAATCAAATAAAATAAAATTATGACTCATGACCATAGGAGTAGTATTCACAATAGTTAGACATGTATCTATTTTTTAAGTAAGTTATCAAATAAAAGTAAATTGCGAAAATATTTTCATTAAACCTTTCCTCTTATTTCCTCCAACCAAACATAATTTTTTATTAAAATCCTTCCTTCCCCTTCCCTCCTCGACTCTCCCTTTCCCTCCCCTCCTTTGAACCAAACAAGGCCATAGGGGATGGTTTTGAAGGGCTTTCATGACCTCCAAAGTCCTCTAAATGTTCAATTTTTTGTGACCCTCAAAGTCCTCAATTATTTGAATTCGTCATATTTCAAAGTCATTTTTATTATAATTCATTCAAAAACTCGTTTTTTCCAAATTTATTACTCCCAAATACAAAAAAGAGTTTCTCACCCTTCCCTCCTTGCGCCCCTGCTTCTAATCCTGTTGAACAATATGTGTTCAAGAATGTTTTATGTGAGTAGAAAAAACATTATTGTGTTCAAGAAGAGAAATCGTATTTAAAACTCAATTGGGAAGTACTATCACTTTGTAAACGAATCAAATAATTTGTGCTCGATTCACGATTTGAATTCGCATAAGACGATCCGAATTCGGAAAATTCAAATACAAATACAAATAAGAATATTAAATTTGTTATCAAATACAAATAAGAATATCAGTGTATTCGATTCGAATATTAATCAAATATATTCAATTAATAATAATGATAATATTAATGTCAATATTAATACTAATAATAGTAATAACACCACAATAACTTTTAAAAGATAACAATACCCTCAAAGTGTAGTCCATATATACACTTTTGCATACAGATTCCAAGCTCATTTGTAATAAATCAGAATATAAATACGAATATAAATCAATTTTATGGTTCAAATGTCTTTCAAATACAATACAAATAATTATGTATTCAATTTGAAGAATATAATTGGAGTTATTCAATTTGAAGAATATAATTTCTAATATGTGTGTGTTAGTGTATATTTCAAAAAGTTTGAAATAGATTTATATTTATTAATCATAAAATTAATTCACTTTAGTATATTGTGTACCATCTAAAAATGCATTGATCCATTAAACTTAAATTCTAAAAACACACATTAAGTCATAGCAAGCATTTACAACATAAAAAACACGGAGTATAAGAAAAGTTTTTTTAGAGTGATATTTGACTAATATTTTACTTATACTCAAATCGATTCGATATTCGTATATAATTCGTTAATTATTCATATTGTTAAACAAATACAAATACAAATCAAAATTAATATTCATTTCATATTTGAATTCGAATTCGTATTCGAAAAAATTAAACAAATACAAATACAAAATCTCATTATTCGATTCGATTCGTATACAACCCTACTCTTTCATTGAGTTATAATAATGAGCAACTTGGTGACTATTAGAGTATTAGAGCTTGGGTTGGACATGGTCCTAGTTCTGTACTAAGTTTGGCCCATTAAATTTTAGTCCAAAACATAATTAAAATTCTAATATGAAATCAGAATGTGGGAACGACAATGCGGTTTTAGTGAATTCATATACGGGATGATAAATGTCATCTTGATTAGGCATATTTTCTTTTAAAGAACCAAATATTTCTATTTAGAACTATCCAAGTGTGCACACAACTCTGTTTCTATATAGAGCCAGTATATGTACATGATTGACCCATATTTAATACCGGTTGGCTAAATTTCGGAAAAATATTCAAACCGCACACTTGGAGTAAATAGGCTAAAATTGGACCTGGCCTGGCCTAGTTTGAGTCTGTCTATCCACCCCTTGAAAAAAGTTCTGGGTCGGCCTTTGGTTGCTTCTATTTTATCTTCATGTTGTTGGTCATCATCTTATTAATCGTCACTAAAATCTTCTTCCTCTTCCTCTTCCTCCTCACCATCAAACTTCTCCGGTTTCCTTTCCTTCATATCATTACTGCTTTTTTCATTTCCACATTTGGTTTTTTATCCTCAATCGAAGAATTCATCAATTGAGCATGTCTTAAACTCATTTCCATCCCATGACACTTACCAACTAAAGCCCCTCTTAAGTAGAATTGACTTGGAACCTGATTGGAGACCCTGTTTTTTGGCTTATCAGTCAATTTTTTAACCAAACACGTAACTTTTGATTTTGTGCGCTGAATAATGTAATAATCAAAATAGGTAAGGTTGGCTGAAGTTACCGTAGATGACCATTTTAACTATTTTATATTCACTTCAACCAGAACTTCATAAATCTCAGCAGAATCAGCCGATTCAGCCAATTTCAGTGCTATCAAACGGGCTCTTGATAATTTGAGAGAATTTACTTCGCAAACTTTAAGTGATTGTTGTATGTCAATTTGAGATTTATGTGAAACATGGTATGGACATATCCTACTCCTTGCATCTCCAACTATTTATTACAGTCGTGATGAATCATGATGAGAAATTGTCCAATATAGGAGTAAACATAAACATAATTGCACAAATAGGAGCAAAACTTAAAACTTCCTTTAATAGGAGTAAACATTAATTTTGTACCCTTAATATCCCTAACCTAGTTAATTCTAAAATATGACTTATTTGATCCTATTTAAAAAAATCTAAGTTCATTCACCGGAAACGATACCTTTATGCATCCATCAATATTAAAATATGAAAAATTAAAAAAGTTATTTTTGTAAAAATAAAAAACTTTAAAAATAAATAAAAATAGATAAATTGTATTAAAAAATAAAAAAAAAGTATGCAAGCCTTTCCCGTAGCCTCAATCATCACCCAGCAATGGGATCGGCAAAAAAATGTCATTTTATGTAAAAACTGTCATTTTTCTTTGAAAATGCCATAAAAATGGCAGATTTATTCTTTGAAAATGCCAAAAATTTCTCAAAATATGTCATCTTGATGACATTTCGGGAAAATGTTGGCATTTTTTTGGTGGTCAGAGCTGGTTGTGCTGGGAGGTTGTTGAGGCGGCGGCAGACGCCTACATATTTTTTTATATTATTTTTCATTTTTTATTTTTTATTTTTAAATTTATTTTGGTTTTTTACTTTTTACGAAGTATTTTTTATTATTTTAATAATTTTTATTCTATTTAATAAGGAGTATATTTTATTTGATATTTTTTGTGTTTTTTTTTACAATTTTATTATAAATTAGTTAATCATACGGAATATTTCTTTTATGTTTTAATTATTAATTAAAGTTGTTGGGGCTTGGGTAAGGCTTATGTTTTACTCATATTTGGAGAATTCTCTCAATCATGATTCATGAACGCACTCTTGAAACTTTTGTAATGGAGAAGAGTTTACGCACCATAACATTAGTTACTTTAAAAGAAAGAACGGAAATATGATTACAAGGCTGTTGGAGGTATTGGTCCTACCAAGGCCCCCCTTCCACTTTATTTGCTGAGGCTTGCACCCTATGTTTTACTCCCACTTTGGTACCTTTTACCTTGGTATATTATGTGATCAATTATATACCTGTTGGGTCACTCATTACCTGGCTTTGGCCCATTTTGGTTGTCCGCTGCAGTACTCTTGTCTCACCGGTGAACTATTGTTATCTTTGTTTCACCCGTGACTCTTCACAATAGGCTGGCAGCCTATTATATGTAATACTCGTTCTTCTTCCTTTGAGTTAAGCGTGCAGAACCTTTGAGAGCAGTGTCTTCCTTCTTCCTCCTTGCTTGAGAGTTCTTTTGTGGTTAGAAGAAGAGAGTAAAGAGAATAGGTGTGCTATAGCCTCCCCTAACGTGGTGTATGTGAGTATAGTGGAATAGACCTGAGCAGGAGACGGAATTGGATCCTTACAGTGGTATCAGAGAAATGGTTGCATGAAAATCTTGAACAATTCTCTTGTGTTGTTTAAAGCTGAGAAGGTGAGTAACCTTTATGTGTGTCATGCTAAACCTTTTGCTTTAAGGTTATGGGATAGGAACCAGGTAGGCTTTAAGGTGGTCATTAGCAGAAATGTGGTGTTTAATGAAACTGATTTTCCTTGCTTGACCGAGTATGTTTCTAATCCTGAGTCTAGGTCTGATAGTACTCCTAGTGAGGTGGAGTCTGTCCCTGTTGCTGCTAGTCCTTTATCTGTTGATCCTGTCATTGCTGTTGATATTGTTATGCATGATTCTGATTCCTCTGAGCATGATAGTCCCACCACCTCGAGTGAGGTGGAGCATTTACATGATATTGAGCATGATTTGCATGATATGGGTGCTGAATCTGATTTTCATGACAACAATAATTTGCATGAGTTGCATGTGGAGCCTAGTAGTGATAATTTGCATGATTATCAACTTGCTAGAGATAGGAGTAGAAGGGCTATTAGGAGAACTGCTGATAGTATGCCTGATTATGCTTTCATTGTGCATGATACTTCTATGTTTGCATTTTCTGTGTTTGAATCCCTAGAGCTGAATGAACCCAAGACCTACCGTGAAGCCTTAGGTTCCAAAGAGTCTCAGAAATGGATTAGTGCCATGAAAAGTGAGATGGACTCTTTGAGAGTGAACCAGACTTGGACCCTTGTACCTAGACCCCCCAACTGTTCGGTAGTTGAGTGTAAGTGTTTGTTTAAGGTTAAGGAAGAACCTAGTGATGTTAGGTTTAAGGCTAGGTTGGTTGCGAAGGGGTTTACTCAAAAAGAGGGGGTAGATTATGCAGAAATCTTTGTTCCTGTTGTTAAATTCACCACTATTCGTATGATGCTTGCTTTAGTTGCTCACCATGACTGGGAAATGAAACAAATGGATGTAACTACTGCATTTTTGCATGGTGAATTGGACAAAATAATTTATATGACCCAGCCTGAGGGCTTTGTGGATCCCAAGAGAGGTGAGCATGTCTGTTTGCTTAGGAAGGCGTTATATGGCCTGAAGCAATCCCCTAGGCAGTGGAACATCAAATTTGATAAATGCATGATATCTTTGAAGTTCCAAAAATCTGTTTGTGATCATTGCATGTATTTCAAAAATACTTCTTCTGTGCCTGTATTTTTGTTACTCTATGTGGATGACATGCTGATAATAGTCCTTCTCTGAATGCTATTAAAGATGTGCAAAAATGTCTTTGTGCGAATTTTGCCATGAAAGACCTAGGTGATGCCAAGAGGATCCCAGACATAAACATTGTTAGGGATAGGAGTAAGCGTACTCTTACTTTGAATCAGATTTCTTACATAGAAAAAGTTTTGAGTAAATTCAATATGTTATCTGCTTCTCCTGTCAATGTCCCTATGACATCTCACTTTGTGTTAAGCAAGGACCAGTCTCCCAAGTCTGCTCCTGAAATTGAGAAAATGAAATCTGTTCCCTATTCCAGCGCAATAGGGTCGGTTATGTATCTTATGGTTAGCAGTAGACCTGATATTGCATATGCGATTAGTTGCTTGAGTAGATATATGTCCAACCCTGGTTTGCCTCATTGGAATGCTCTTAAGTGGTTGCTTAGATATCTGATATCTACTTTGAAGCATGGATTAATTTTCTCTAAATGTGCTAGTGGTATTGAATTTATTGGTTATGTTGATTCTAACTATGCAAATGATAGAGATAAGAGGAAGTCGACCACTTCTTATGTTTTTACTTTGTGTGACTCTTGCATAAGTTGGAAGTCTCAACTACAGCCTATTGTGGCCCTTTCTACCACTGAATCTGAGTATGTTGCAGCCACAGAAGCGTTTAAGGAAGCCATCTGGCTCAAACGCCTTGTCTCCGAAATTGGGTTTCTCAAACAGGGAGTTACCATTTTCTCAAATTGGGTTTCTCAAACAGGGATAGCCGATTGGCTATCCAACTTTGCAAAAATCATGTATTTCATGATAGAACTAAGCATATTGATGTTAGGTTCCATTTCATACGTGATATTGTTGATGCAGGTGGAGTCAAGCTGTGCAAGATCCCGTCCGAGTTTAATACCGCGGATATGGGTACCAAGTGTCTTTCTGCTGAGAAGCACTTGTCCTGTAAACGCGTATTAAACTTTGATTGTGGATAACTGTGGGTTGCCTAATTAAGTGTTTGCCCGTTTTATCTGTTGATATTCCGGGTGACCCGGCGATGATGAGTCTTGTCACAACCTTGTATTGTTACTCTACACCACCTAGGACCAATAAGGTTGAGAATGTTGGAGGTATTGGTCCTACCAAGGCATCCCTTCCACTTTATTTGCTGAGGTTTGCACCCTATGTTTTACTCCCACTTTGGTACCTTTTACCTTGGTATATTATGTGATCAATTATATACCTGCTGGGTCACTCATTACCTGGCTTTGGCCCATTTTGGTTGTCCGCTGCAGTACTCTTGTCTCACCCGTGAACTATTGTTGTCTTTGTTTCACCCGTGACTCTTCACAATAGGCTGGCAGCCTATTATATGTAGTACTCGTTCTTCTTCCTTTGAGTTAAGCCTGTAGAACCTTTGAGAGCAGTGTCTTCCTTCTTCCTCCTTGCTTGAGAGTTTCTTTGTGGTTAGAAGAAGAGAGTAAAGAGAATAGGTGTGCTATAGCCTCCCCTAACGTGGTGTATGTGAGTATAGTGGAATAGACCTGAGCCGGAGACAGAATTGGATCCTTACAAAGGCCATAAGAAATTTGACAAGAATTCTTCTCAAAAAAATAGAAACACAATAGAAAAATGAATTGAAAACGTGTGTAATCAGAAGTGACATTTGAACGAGTTCGATTCTCCTCTAAATGGAACTGAATGAATTAAAAAATTTAATTCATAGAAAGCGTATAGAGCAGAAACGTTACATCTTCATAAGAGTGTTCACAATCAAGCCCAAGTGGTATTCAAATTCCAGAAATAGGAGTAAAAAAGTTTGATAATTTCAAAATAGGATTGCCATGTTTTTATTCCTAAAATAGGAGTAAGTACTGCCAAATTTGAAAAATATTGTCATGTTTAAAGTCTGATACTGTCAAAACATGGTAGTAATTAGTTCTATTTTAGAAATAAAAACATGATAGTCCTATTTTGAAATATATATATATACAAACGTTTTTAATCCTATTTGAGTGGGACAGATTTATACCAAAGCACTAGAGCAGGGACACATAACTTGAAGTCTTCAATCCTATTTGAGTGGGACAGATTTATACCAAAGCACTAGAGCAGGGACACATAACTTGAAGTCTTCAACTATCCACGAATGCCAAGAGGAGTAGATTTCCCCCAGCAATCTGCATTTCCTTGATCTTGCTTGAACGTTAAAGCTGTTGAAAGCAAGAACAGCCCACCAATTAACACTCATTTCCCTTTACCTAAAGCAAGACGCTCTAAAGTCTAAATCCCTGCGAATAGTCCACCGAAACCAATGAGGCTAGGCTGCCTTTGCACAGCAAGCAACAGGTGATATGAGCGCATTCAAATTAATTCGGGAACACAAAAATGCGCATTTATCTTCAAGAATTAATTTTAATGTGTTCCCGATTGAATTTTTAGCTGAAATTTGGTATCAGTAAACTAGACTTGATGAATAAGATGCTCAAAACAATTCATAAAAAAATTCCACCCGGAACTGCCCCAAATCACGACGGCCGGACAGAACCTCGTATAGAAGGACTTAATTGACCTTTTTATGAAAGTTCGAGGACCTATTTGCAGTTTTCCCTTAATTAATTGATACTTTTCCAGGTATAGGTTAAGCTATGTGTACATATTAAATTGCTAGTACGTAATGCATGAGAGCTTAATCTCAAAAGCCTCAGATTTACCAGTTTTTGAAAGTTCTACGGGCTAGACTTGTATGTTATGTAACCTATACTAAGTTCTATCCCTACTCCAAAATACAAATGCATTATAAAAATAATCTCAACTAGTTAATAGTTTCATTAAAAAAAATCGAGAGTTAACGGTGTTAAATTTCCTGTTTAGTTTTTTGATGAAATTGATGTCAATTCAATAATCCCTCTTAGAAAAGTTCACAGTAATAATTTCAATTAACTGCTTTACAAATAAATTAATCGGGAACTAACTGTGTTAAGTTTTGCCTTAAGATTTTTAAAGTTTAAATATAATGAAGTAAAAATATATATAAGCATTAACACCATTAACTCTCGATTTATTTTTGTGAAACACTTAACTGGTTGGGATTGTTGTTGTGGATTTTAATTTTTAATTATGAATTTGATGGAGTATATGGCCCGGGAACACCCGGCCCACAGACTCCTACTACTCCTTTAGAGGCCCAACAGGCCCAAATCACAGCGCCCAGAGTACCGAGCAGCCCACACTACGCGCCAGGGGTGCCTTAGGCCCCCTGGCCGAAAGGCTCTAAACTCTCACAGAACGGGTTTCCCAAGCAAATTAAGAAACTGGGAGAGAACGGCGAAAACAGTAGCACTCGGCACTGTGAGCCCTCGGCACCAGGGTGCCATCGGTTGGAGGAGCCCTCGGCTACTGCCCTATGGCCGAAGGCATCTCACTCGACAAGATATCCGCCTCACATGCGTACAGATCACCGTACCCTGCACAAACGTCCCATCCAACAGCCGCATTAAATGCGGCCACATGCGGCTGCCAGCGCCAACCAGTTGAGGTGACCCCTCGGCCAATGAGCGCCTGACACGTGTCCCTGCCCGACGTTTATTGCTACTATAAATAGCACCCCATCTCCCCATTTGTAACCACGCTGAAAACGGCATTCATATTGAATACACTCTCTCTCTACTTTTACTTACTTGCTCTGACTTCTCTCTAAGTTATTCCCCGTAATAACCCTTCGGATATATACCCCCGGGTAGACTATCCATCATTTGGTGCTCTCGTTGAGAGGTCGAACAATCGAGTAAGAAACCCTCCCCCTCGACCAAACACAAAACACTAGCCCTCTATCAAAATGGTGAGGACAACACGTGCCAACTCAAAGAACGTAGAAGACAAGAACCTGGCCCTCGGCGACGTCAACGCCCCCGAAGCCTCTCACAGGGCTCCCGAGGGCGGTGTCATCGCTGGGCTGGAACAGGCGGCTGTCGACCTACGCCTTCAGATCCAACAAAATGCCCCCGATGCCCGCCTCGGAATCGAGGCCAAGAAGAAAAACCGGAGCGATGACCAAGTCAGCCCTCCGGTTCTCACCATCGACGTGCAATCGGCGCTCTCCGCCTTCATCCAGACGCTCACCCAGAACCCGGGTGCCTTCGGCACCCTGGCTCCAGCTCACCCTCAGATCGGGGAAAATATCATACTTCCCCCTCTGCCACACCCCTTCGGAAATCCCACCCCTCGGGTGAGAAACGACGAAGGGGTGGTGGCCCAAGATACGTCCTCCCAGGAAGTTCAGTCCCGGGATCGCCATAATGACAATAGGGAAAGGCCCCGTACTTCCGCCCTCAACCGGCTCGGAGGAGGGCCAGACCGCCGAGGGGTCCAAGACCGCCGAGGGGGGAAAGCACTCCAAAGGCCCCAGGAAAGCGGGGGATCCGTTTCGAGGGTAGACGAGGAGCGTCCCCCTCGGGACAAAGGCAAGGCACCCCTTCATGCCGATGATGCTCGGCACCAAATCAACCAGGCCCACTCGGCCCGGGTTCGTTCGCAGGGGGCGGTGACCCTCCCGAAGGACCCCCGGGACGAGATTATTGCGGCCCTCCAACGCCGGCTTGACGAGATGGAGTCCAACAAAGCTCACGCCACCACCTCCGCCCCTCATTCAGATCTCAAATACGAGGCCATGATGGCCAAAATGGAGGAGTTACAGAAGAAGGTGGCTGAGGGCTCCGGGGAACCCGTCATCCAGCTCCGGACTCGGACGCCATTTACTCCAAGGGTATTGGCGGCCCGGATCCCGGAAAAATACCGAGGGCAACATATACAGCCCTACAACGGAAAAACGGACCCCCATGAACATTACAGCAAGTACCAGAACAGCATGATGATGGTGGGGGCGTCGGACGAATATTTGTGTCGTTGGTTCCTCTCCACCTTAGAGGGGCCGGCATACGAATGGTTCAACAGGCTGCCCGAGGGCTGTATTGATTCATGGCAAGAACTCGCCCAGCGGTTCTTTACGCAATTTGCCGGGAGGCGTCGCACAAGGAAGCACTTCTCCCACCTCCTAACAATACGCCAGAAGAGGGATGAGATCCTTCGGGACTTCCTAGAGCGCTGGAGGACGGAGGCCGACAAGGTCGACGGTGCTGATGACGGGACCCTCCTGGCCCTCCTACAAACCGTCCTCCGCACCGGTAACTTTTCAAGGAGCCTCATCATTGAACCCCCCCCCCCGCGACTACATAAGGGCTTTGCAGCGGGGGGACCGATATGCTGAGGCCGAGGAGGTGGAGAAGTATCACCAGCATCCGGACCAGCAGCCCCCGAGGGCTGACAACAAGCATAACTGAGGGCCGGGGGCTCCTCCAAATCACCCCAAGGCTTCGGGACCCTCTGATGACCGCCCTCGGCAAGGCCAAGCCAAGCCCGGGGGAGGTTATAAGAGCAACCCTAAGACTTGGGCCCAGCCCATTCTCCTGGACCGCCCTCGGACGCCATTGACGCACCCCGTCAGCATCATCCTCGATTTTGCCGAGGAGAGGGGCCTCGTTGAGCGCGACTCTCGCGCACCCCCGGAGGTACACGCTATCAACCCTCAGTTCCCCTACTGTCGCTTTCATCGGCACCAGGGGCACAGGACCGATGACTGCCATCAGCTAAAGACGGCCATCGAGAGGTTAATACAAGCAGGGCACCTGTCCCAATTTGTTCAGAGCCCTCGGCAGGAGGGACCTTCTCATCAGGGGCCTCCCCGAGGGCACCACACGAAGGTGAACGCTTGGGTAAACCCGAATACCATCCCCCTCGGCAAGAAAAGGGAGATTGGGAACTTGGAAGAAGAGGAGGAGGAATACCCCCACTACCAGGAGAAAAAACGCCACATTCTCATGATCACCGGTGGCAATACAGGGGGCGATTCCACCAGCCAACGAAAGAAGTGGGCTCAATCGCTTTACGTGGGGGAAGTCACTCATATGCCCCCGGTAAAGCGACTGAGGGAGGAACCCATCACCTTTACCAACGCAGATCTCCCTCCTACTTCTTCTCCTCACAGGGATGCCTTGGTGATTCGGACGGAGATAAACGACACCATTATTCACCGAACTTACATTGACACTGGCAGCTCCGTCAATGTAATGTACCTCAGCACCTTCAGAGAGCTGCATCTGGAGAGGGGGTCCCTTCGGCCCATTAAGACCCCTCTTGCCGGCTTCACCGGCGACACTATTGATTCCGAGGGGGTAATAACCCTCCCGGTGATCTTCGGCGACGGGCTCCATAGAGCCCAGCTCGAGGTGGAGTTCGTCGTCGTCAACATTGACTGCGCCCACAACATCATCCTCGGCCGGCCAGCCCTCGAGGACCCCGAAGCCATCATCTCCATGAGGCATCTCTGCCTCAAGTTTCCCACCGAGGGGGGAATTGGCTACTCCCGGGGGAACCAGAAAATTGCCCGCACTTGCTATCTTCAGGTCACTAAGAAGGTAAGCAAGACGGAATGCCGTGTTGACACCATCACCGGAACCATCGACCAAGAGGAAAGAAGGCCGAGGGCTGAACCGGCCGAGGACGTAGAAGACTTTGCGCTCGATCCGGCCCAGCCGGAGAGAGTCGTGAAGATTGGAGCCCAGCTCCCTGAAGATTTGAAGACCGGTATCACCGACGCCCTTCGCGCCTACTCCACTGTCTTTGCATGGGGGCCGGAGGACATGCCGGGAATCAGCCGGAGGGTCATCACCCACCGCCTCTCGGTGGACCCTTCGGCAAAGGCAGTGCAGCAACGAAGAAGACCCCTCTTCGCCGAGAGGAGGGAATTTGTGAAGAAGGAGGTCGCCATGCTCCTCTCTATTAAGCACATCAAGGAGGTGAAATATCCCTCATGGCTAGCGAATGTGGTCCTCGCACAGAAGCCCCCTACCTTCCGCATGTGCGTGGACTACACCGATCTCAACAAGGCGTGCCCCATGGACCCGTTCCCTCTACCAAATATTGATCAACTAGTGGATGAGACCGCAGGGTGTGAGATCATGTCCTTCCTCGATGCCTTCCGAGGGTATCACCAAATTTTTATGCACGAGGAAGACGCCTAAAAAACTGCCTTCATGACTCCCGAGGGCATCTTCTGCTACCTAGTCATGGCCTTCGGCCTAAAGAACTCAGGGGCCACCTACACCCGGATGGTGGCCCGGGTCTTTCAAGCCGTCCTAGGGCGCACCATGGAGGCCTATGTTGACGACATGATCGTCAAAAGCAAACAATCTTCCAGCCATGCTGACGACCTCCGGGAAATCTTCGCCATCATGCAAAAATTCAACCTTCGGCTAAACCCGAAGAAGTGCACCTTTGGCGTCCAAGGAGGCAAATTCTTGGGCTACATGGTAAGCCGAAGGGGTATTGAGGCCAATCCCGAGAAGATCCAGGCCATCATCAACATGGAGCCCCCACGCAACGTGAAGGAAGTTCAACGGTTGACGGGCCGCCTGGCAGCCCTCAACCGCTTTCTATCTAAACCGGGGGCTACACATCGAAACTAACACCACGTGTTGTTTCTAAAAGCCGTACCCCACGAGGACGCATATACCGAAGGCGCCACCATCGGTGCCGGCGGCCATTTGCAACTAGTGTGCAAATGAAAACCCTTCCTTGAAACGCTTTCCGCGTCACTACCCCCAGGGTATGACAGGCATGAGAAATGCCCAGGATTCGACTTTCAAAAACGGAATGCTATCCGCGTCACTACCCCCAGGGTATGACATGCATGAGAAATGCCCAGGATTCGACTTCCAAACCGAAACGCTCCCCGTGCCACCACCCCAAGGGTGTGGCAGGCCACGGACTATGTCTAGCGCCGAGGGGACGACTTTCAAAAATGAGGCGCTTTCCGCGCCATCCCCCAAGGGGAGGCAGGTTACGGACCACCAT